TAATTTGCCCCTACTACTCCTGGAAAGCCGGCTATTTGCATGAATTGTGTTTGCGTCTGTTGGATTACGAAGGGTGTAGTTGGGAAGTAGATGAAACGCGCGACAATGTGTGGAGCTGTAAGTGCCATAATTGATTCCATGACAATTCAGCTTGTTGATGGTTGTAATGCCCCAAATCATCATCAGCATTGCTGTATTTGACCTGTGGCAAAGAAAGGAAGGCTCATCACCACCTTCAGTTTAGCTGAAAATGCATTGCTGCGGATAGTCAGTGGTGAGATGATTTCCCTCATCAACTTGCCAACAAAGATGATGCCTGCTTTGTCCAAAGGAAACTGTAGAATTAACTAAGTGTCTTCAAATAATTCTTAGCTTTAAGACATTTGATAACTTGCTTTTATACTTACGTTTGAAAGTAGGAGTAAATTTCATGAATTCTCAGCACTTAAGGCTAAAATGGCACTTTGAGAAGCTTGTGCGGGCCCAGGCTTTTTTAGAAGTACGTTCACACAAGCAGTTTTAAAATAATCAGGGACACAACCGGGAGATAAGGAGCCATTAAAAACAGAAAGCACACAGGGCTCGATAGAATCCACTACTTTTAGTAAGAACTTTGTTGTTACTACATCAAGGAAGACACTATCACACATGACTGGAAGACACTATCATTTGCGATACTGTTTTTAAAAGCTCACTCAAGGCAATGGAATAAAACTGGTAAAAACTATCTTGTTGCCGGTGAGGGACCTCTGAGTAAGAGGCACTTGGGGTGATGGAGGCTCTGATTGACTCCACCTTATTGGTAAAATAAGATAAAAACAATTCACAATCATCATCACTTTTAACTGAGACACAAGGAGTGACTGGATTGACCGGCTGATCCAGTCTTAAAATAAATTTCTAGGATTATGTTGATGTACAGAAAAGTAGTTCTTGCATCCTTAGCCATTTTCCATTTCCATTTTAACTCCACCTGAACTGTGGCCTTTTCAGTCTTTGTTTAATGTTTTTTTTCTTGAAACTGGCTCTTTCTGAAACTCCTCTGGCCTGACTAACTCACACAAAACTGATGCAAAGGCCAATGCAAGTCTAACTGTTGGCGGACTGCCATACTTTACTGTTCTATTGTATCTATCAATATTCCTGATTTTATTTGTTGAGTATTTCTATGTGCTGTTAAATATCTACTATTTAAATATAATTACTTTTTTATTATAATTTGGGGAGCATAGGAATATTTTAGGGTAGCTTCACCCCCCTGGCCTTTTATTGTGGCCAGCCTAAGGCACACCTGCACAATACCCATGCTGTCTGATCAGCATCTTGATATGCCACACCTATGAGGTGGATGGATTATCTCTGCAAAGGAGAAGTGCTCACTAACACAGATTTTGACAGATTTGTGAACAATATTTGAGAGAAATAGGCCTTTTGTGTACATAGAGAAAGTCTTAGATCTTTGAGTTCAGCTCACAATGAATGGGGACAAAAACAAAAGTGTTGCATTTAAAAAAAAATTCAGTTTTTTCTTTAAAAATAATTTTATTTATGGAGTAATGGATTTTACATTAAGTAAGACAATTCTCCATTATCATTTTCAGAAGACACAAAAGATAGGTAAAATATTATAGAAAAAAAAAACATAAAAAAAGGAAAGTATGGTGAAAGTCATAGTATTAACAAATTAATAATAAAAAGAAATAAAAAAAGTTTTTTCATGTTGTGTTTCAGAACATTTCACAATAGGGATGACCCAGAATTATCAGAGATTAAATGCTTCTGTCAGGGCGTTGTGGTGGTTGAGCAGGTTGGACCCAAACGCAGGACACAGAGCAAGCGAGTGCAGTTCAAAAGAAGTTTTAATTCCAATAAACAAGGCGAGCACACTTACAACAGAGTGGCTGAATCCAAAATAACAGAGTCCAAATAAACAGGTGATCTAACAGAAATCCAAATCCAGGGAAACAGCGTGACACGACAAGTAAGGCAGGCTGGCAGGACAACACGCAGCAACATGGGACAGAGCGTCTACACACTACAAACACTGAGGGAAACAAGCAAGGATATACACACACACGCACGCACACACACACACACACACACACACACACACACAGATGGGGTTAACGAGCTGGGAGGAGGTACACAGGTGATACTAATGAGACACAGGCAGCAGAGAGATAACTGGGGGAACAGACAGAACACTTGACAGGCAGACATGGGTCAAAATAACAAACAACAGAAGAACACAGAACAGGAGTAAACACTTAAGACATGAACTAATGTACAGGACTAAGAACTAAGACACCGAACTAGGAACTAAGATACGAGACAAGACAGATACCAAGTAGCTTAAAGATGCAGAAGAACAATAATACGTAATCACAGGACTAAGAACTAACTAAAGAAGACTACACAGAGAAACACATAACCAAAAACAGACTTAAACAGGAAACATGAACACAAAATCCACATTCCTAACAGCTTCGATATAAGGAGCTTGTTCGACTGCCAATCTCACAGTCAAATATTTGCAGAGGTGTTATGAAACGTGGATAATGTCATCTTTGCTATATGGGGGTGCTCAGTGTCGGATTTTACATGTGAAAAGCTGTGAAGCTTTTAAAAAATCTTAAAGTGCAGGAATAAAACCAAAAGAGTGTGTGTGTGTGTGTGTGTGTGTGTGTGTGTGTGTGGAGGTTAGTATAAGAAAAAAATAAAAGGCACACAAAGCAAGGTCTATAAGGTCCTGGTTGCTGCGGCTGTGACTTTGGTCACGGTAAAGTATAACTATCGACTCAGCATGCAGTGGCAGGAACTAACAGCAGGTAAGAATACAAATAAAATACAACTTCTGTGGTAAAACACACAACTGCCACTTTATCAGAAAGGAATGAAAACGAACCTCGTGTTCTTGGTCTTGCTAAAACACTATTATTGGCTTCACACAAAATGTCATGGCCAAAACAGGTGAAGGCCCAGCAGGATCGTACTGACAAAAAACACACAACAATAAACAGAACATGGCGGTCCCTTACATTCCACAGAAATTCAGCACAACAAAGCCTCAGGTTATAATCACAGTTACAATCTCTGCCCCGACACAAACCTCTTACTTGGAATTGCTTCTTGACAGCGATTTGATGCTCCTTGAGGAAATCAAGCGGCTCGGGTTTTGACGATCACTGCACTGCACTGTGGCAGCTTCAAAGGCACAGCTGACTCTTCAGGCAGCAGTGGAAGAAACCGTGGAGCCGACTTAGTAGATCAAGAGTTTGGGGCCACACAGGGTAAGCGGTTGACGATGAGTGAGAGAGTGAGCGAGTGATTTTTGGGGGGCTATTTGCCTATATCTGTTAGGGCCTGCTGAAGGTGTAGCAGTGGTGGGGCAGTGGATAAGACACATGCCTTTGGTGTGAGATTCCCCACTGTGACACATCTGCCAATGTGTCCCTGAGCAAGACCCCTTGTTGCTCCAGAGGCGTGCAATTGTAAGTTGCTAAATGAGTAAATGATATGAAGATAGGAAATGTAGGAGAGCAAGCGGGGATGACATGCAGCAAAGGGCCGTGGGCTGGATTCAAACCCTGGCTGCTGCAGTGAGGTGAACTAATTGGCACCCCCGTTTACCTCCTCTTGTATTAAATCCTAATCCTTTGCATGTTGCTTTCAATGTTATTCCTTTTGAAAATCTCAAATCTCTTGAGTGTCGTCTTCCTCTTGTGTGGCTTCCATCTCTGGTACCTCTTCCTCTTCTTGCATCGTTTTCACTTCCTTTGATTCTTACTTACATCCTCTTGACCAAATTCTTTCCCTTTTTATTGGCGTGTGCACCTTCACCCTCTTGTACTGAGTCTTTGTCCTGTGCATACTCTACTGTCACATCATTTTTTTGGACATTGAGCATCTCTTGTTCTTCTTCGTCCTCTGGTACAAGCTCTGGTACATCATTGTTCTCCAACGCAATGTCAGAAGGTGCTGTATCTCCACTTGAACCTGATATCTGGAACTTCATATTAAGTTTTACTTGTACAATGTTCATTTATAAATGCAACAACAATCAACATGTTATAAGTCCAAAACTTATAGTCTTAGACACTCCCTTGTTTTCTGCTGAGATAATGATTCCTGAGTTTTTGGATATGTTTGGCAATAATATTATTAAAAAGATTCTGGACCGTTAACACAAAGTCACATTTATTTTTCTTTTACAACGGGTTAACAGGTGTGTTTTACATACATATAACACAACAGAAAATAATTTACCAGCTTAAAATGTAATTATATTATAAAAGGCTGATGTATTTGTCTTTCTCACTGCAAATTAAAATATGGAAATGCATTAGAATAGTTCTTACCTTTCCAAATGTTCTAGAAAGACAATTCTAGATGTAACTTAAAACACAATTAAGTTAATTTACCATGTAAGTAATAGTACTAGTTGTTTTTCCTTTCACAAAAATATTAGTCTTTAAAGCACTCTACTTTAGTTACTTTGAGGTGGGCTTCATGATTATGGGCCTAAATGAAAGTCCCATCCCCATGAAATGAAAAAGGCCTAAACAAGAATCAAAGGCAAGCACAAAGAAATCATGTCGGTATTACAAAAAGACAAACTCACCCATTTTTCCCCTTTGGCTCGTCATTCCGAGCTTTTCATCTTACTGTAGCCTAAAACTACTTAAAAATGATCACAGAGGTACTTGGGGACGTTTTACAAGAATATTGTGGAACTTGCTGATAACAAGTTGATTAGATGTTTTTATGGAATTTGTCACATTTGCATAGCCTATGCCATGCATGTGTATTGGGTATGAATTTAGTATTTATTCATTTAAAAAATGCTGCGGTAAAACAATTAAAAATTAAAATAAATTAAAATAATTATAGAATTAGAATTTTTGTCCCCGCCAGATGAAAGGTGAACAAATATATTTAAAGTGTGGGCTGCAGTCTGTTATTCCACCACTTTATCATCCATTAAGGAATTTTAAAAAATTCCAAGAGTAAGGGGACAACAGTGAATGAAACTTTATTGTGTTAACTTGGAGACTTTTCCCAGATGAATGTGCACAGATGCCGGATTAACATGGAGACTCTGCCTTTTACTGTTGCCATGGTGAATGATCGCAGCCTATCGGAGCTCCATTGATGATGCCTTTGTTTATTCGCCACACACCAGTGAACACTAGGCTTAATTAAACTGACTCGACCAAATCTAAGTTTTCCATCTCAGGCTGTCAGCTCAGTAGGGGCTGGACTGAGCTTTTGTTAAACCTGCTTTCTGAAACAGGCGAGTTTCTGATATCATCTGGTCTCTGGTAGTGTCTTCGTCCGTACCGGAGGTTAAGTTTCACTTTCTGTTTTTCTGTGGTGGCTGTGGCGCAGCTGCTTTTCTCAATTTAACGGAAATGTAACGGTCACTTTTTTTTACAGTGACTTTTTGCTCATCCTGTTAGCGCTTACTGGCTGCTGTTAACGTTACCTTTTTACAGTCAGCAGAAGTCTGCCGTTCGGTTGGTTTCATGAACAAACAAAACGGGAGGAACCTTTCTCCGCCATTTTGCATTTGTGAGTATTAACCTTTTATGCCATAGAGTCTATGGTATGAAGTAAACCATTGAATTGTTTCCTGCCTAAATCAGCCACAGGACACAGGCTGTCAGAGCCAATAGGCCTACAGCGGCTTCGCTCGGCCAGGACAGCCGCTGGTGAACAGCTGTTTACATGATCAGTCAGAGGTCTTATAAACAATGAACAACGCACCAAAGCAGTCAGAGCTCTTAACCCCCCTTCCAACAGGAACTAGTGTCACTATGTTTTACATGCCCGTTAGGCTACTCCAAAATTGATCAGCAACCAAACAATTAATAGGCTACATGAAAGATATAAATTTACATTAATCTTTTAAGATTGTATTGATAGGCTCCTTCAGTAACAAAAATAAATGCATAACAAGATGCCATCACAGTGACATTATACATTTATCAGATCTGTCGAGGATAACACAAGAAAGTTACAAACTTATTTCCATTGTGGTCCTCAATAGAGTATTTGTACATTGTTGTAGGTCTGTCTTTTTTAAGTTTATAAGTAATGCCTATAATTAGTTCTTTACAGAAACTTTGTTGGTAATTATTATTTCTGCTAAGTTTTTTAAAAATGTTTTTCTTAGTCAATGGCAGGGTCATCATGTAATGTTAATATAGTGGATCCATAATCCCAGTTAACAATAAGCTGTGGCTTGCTGCATCAAGTAATTTTCTACAGGGACACTGATTCTGTCAGTCTATAGCCCCCTTTCCACTGCACAGTACCAACTGGACTCGCCGACCATCTTTGTCCTTCTGTGTCAGTGAATGGAATGGTCTTCACTGCAGCTTCATGATTCCATCTAGTGGACTGGTAGTAGAAGTACAGCAGCTGATGGAAGCTTCCTTGACCTCACACTGTCTGACTGCAATCAAATGACACAGATATGACAGAAAATAACAGCCAGCAGCTGATCTTTATACATTGATGTGCAGATTAATGATTTGTGTTTCCCCTCCAGATGAAAGTGTGTGTGAGCTGATGTGGGGATGAGTTCAGCAGCATGAATCAGTGTGAGGACACAGAGGAGGGAGTCCCTCCCTCTACACCCACTCTATGTGGAGGACATGGCAGCTCGACCAAAGCTCAGAGGTGAGGTGAAATCTCCTTAACTTTGTTTACAGTGGTGCCAGACACTGTGGCATGGGCCTCTGCTGATGGTGCGCATGCTACAAGCATGCACAGAGGCGTTTATGCTTAACGTGTTGCAGTTTTCTCCAATCCTTCTGATCTCATCCTGTCACTTGTGTCCCACTTGCGACATTTGTATGTGTGTTCCTGACAGGTGTGAAGGTCACACACTGAGAGCAAAAGTGACACATGTCATTCTCTCATATGAATAATGATTCTTCATATTTCATCAATGACATATATTTCACTAATGATCAGTAGAATGTCTCTCCATCAAGTCATTTGGCTGTCCCTGTGGTCATAGAGGTGCTTGTAGAGGCGAACTTGCTTGACCAATCGACCTTTGATCGTCTCCATGTTAAAATGAAAAGTGCAGCGTGGGCCTGGTTACAATAATTCAGAGGTGCTTGAGCAAGCAACGCCACAACGACAGACGGAATGGCGTCCTTTTTGGCACATGCTCCCATGACGATGACGTTTCACACAGAGCCCTCGCTAAAAGAACAGGAAGTTTTTTTTCTGTTCTGCTGTCTTCTGCAAATTAGCAAAAAATTGTTAAACCATAACTTCACAAATAAATATTTTTATATCTTTATCACCACACAGCCAGGTGGATGGTTCATCTGACTGAACATTTGATGAATCAATGGAAGGCTACCCATTGATCCTTGCTTACTACTATTTCAAATACTGTTGATTCCATTTAAGGCATGGCATTAAATGACAGCAAGGCTTACACTGTGAGTGGATTGTCAGCTGCCTTTGAATCACACTTTCACTGGATCTTGTTATAGTTAACAATCTAGCGAGCTAATTAAAAATGTTACATTAATATTTTTTATCACCCACTGCAACGGGTCTGTTTCCTATACTGTGAACAAATGGACTGCATTTAGAAGAAATGATTACATCTTAATAATTTCAAGCTAATTTGAAGAAGAACAGAACTTTGTGTTCTTTAAGCGAGGACTACGTGAGAAACACCATTGTGAGGCTAAGCCAATCAGAGGGAGAGTAGGTCGGGTCATGCTTTCGCCATAGTAGGACTCACAAATTCACAAACAGGGACACTGCGTGGAACATAATCCTAGCTTTTTTGAAATTTTATTTATGTTTATTTGAAAGGGACATATGCTATAAACATAGAGAATTGTAAAATTTCCAAAGCAGTGCGATGCGTCACAGCTTTTACTGCTTGATTTTCCACGACTCTTCTGTATGTCAAAGCTCAGCACTAAACTGACTACACCATCATTATTCACACTCCTATCTCTGTGTATGTTGAAGCCCAGAGCAGCAGCACTCACCAGTCTTTCCTGGATCGGGACCTGGACCCAGCTGTATGTCTGTAAAGAGTGACTTGTCCATGGAGCTCCCGCTACTTTTTAAAAGACAAGGTTTACCAATGACAGAGTAAGTCAACTTCACATCCACGCTAAAACTTTATTAATATTAAAATAGCAAAATGTTGTCCAACATGTCACAGGACAGAAAAGATGTATGTGATGTGTAAAAATACAGCTATAATGAAAATAAAAGCTGAGGATAATGTGAGGCTTCAGCAGTCTGAGGTACTAAAAATGCTTCTCACAACTGATGTACCCGGCATTTCAGTTTGTTATCTGTCAATAACAGTAATATCGCCTCAGAAATTAGTCAATTTAGTCCTGGTTTGGTCCAGTATTTTGGGGAAAAATTAACCAATGATGCACAGCCCAAAACATTTCAGTGTGAAGAGCTTCATGTTTTTTTGAACTTTGCAGTGTTGATCTTTTTCTTATTGATAGCCACTAATTTCTCCAGCAGCTTCTGTGGCTGAAGACTTAAAAGTGAATTCCCATCCCTGGTGGTCTTCCTCTCTGTGTAACAGGAGCTATGGGAGACCAGTCTCTGTTGAACCTGAACCTGAATCAAGCTGTGTGTCCTTGAAGAGTGACCGGTCAAATGATCGCGACATTGATTTTAAAGGACGACAACCCTCTGCTGCAAAGAGGTATGCTGTTAACAACATTAAAATATTTACTGATTGATGTTTTAACTGTTATTTATCCAGAGAGGTTTTTTAAACCTTTGTTTATTTTCAGCATCGTTCTTCTTCACATATATTTAGATTCTCACATCTGAAAGCTGACCAGTATAATCAGTCTTCAGCTCTTGACTTCAGTTTAGTATTTTCTCAACACACACGTAAGTGGTGTCTGATGACTGCATAAATATAAAACAGGGATTTTATTGAGGCTTCAACAGTCTGAGTTACCACTGGGTCTTAAAAGTATTAAAAAAGTCTTACATTTCAAGTTCCAAAAATAAGGCCTTAAGAGAATTAAATTTCATTTACCAAGGTCTTAAATTTTTTCTTGTCCTTTCGTAGGATTAAATAAATGCCGTAACATCATAAATGAATATTTTGTGTGTGTGAGACTTTATAATTTCCTCCGTTAGATGTGACTCTGATGTTATACGTGAATACAGGTGACATTACTGTTTATGTCAGCGTTCAGCTTTACGCTGTGGACTGTGGAATGTTCGCGGTGCACGAGCTCTGGTTGGTGGATGAGGCTGAGGGCAGTGGCGCTGAAGTTAGCGCAACAAGCGGATTGCCGCGTGAGCCAGTCACACTGTGGCGAGCTTCCAGCAGAGAGACAGTTGTGCATAACGTCGAGGACCGTGTCTGTGTGTCGGCGTTGCGCTGCTGTTGTAGGCTAACGTTATGTGAATGGAAACCTCAAACTAACGCACATTAAACTTCCATCTCCCAGATACGCTGATCACGTGAACGAGGGAAAAACAAACCGCAGCCCAACTCCTTTTTCCCGCTGCTTTCAAGCCAATACTATATAATACTATATTTCAAGCACCCTTTAGATGCAAAATCAGAAAAGGATGAATCATCACTGAAGCACTTGACATTTTATATTACATTACCTTATCTAGCCAAAGTGTAATTAATTGCAACAACTTACCACACAGTCTTTAACTCTTAACTTCCGTTTAACATTTTCTCCACACACACACGCGCTCTAACTGTTGTCTGATGACTGCATACATTTAAAACAGGGATTCTATTGAGGCTTCAACAGTCTGAGTTACAAAAATCTCACTAAAATTGCTTCACCAACCATAGTTTTAAATATCAGGATATTTTTTGTAAGTCTAGTAATGCCAACGTTAGAATGCAGACCAATGGTCTCAGTACTGATGTACCCAGCACTTATGCTTGTTATCTGTCAGTAACAGTAATATTGCCTCAGAAATCAGTTAGTTCAGTACTGGTGTGGTCCACTATTTTTGGGAAAAATGAACAGATGATAAAAAGACCAAAATTATTCAATGTGAAGAGCTTCATGTTTTTTTGAACTTTGCAGTGTTGATCTTTTTCTTATTGATAGCTGCTAATTTCTCCAGCAGCTTCTGTGGCTGAAGACTTAAAAGTGAATTCCCATCCCTGATGGTCTCCCTCTCTGTTTAACAGTCACTGTGGGAGACCAGCCTCTTTTGAACCCGAACCTGAACCAAGCTGTGAGTCCTTGAAGAGTGTCCGGTCAAATGATCGCGACATTGATTTTAAAGGACGACAGCCCTCTGCTGCAAAGAGGTAAGTTGTTAACAACGTTGAAATATTTACTGATTGATGTTTTAACAGTTATTTATTACATACATTTATAGTCTCACATCTGAAAGCTGCCCAGTATTAGCAGCTTTCAACTCTTGACTTCAGTTGATTTCAGTCATGTGACAACACAAATAAAAACATAACCGTGATAACAGCTGGGCTGCAATCAGCTGCTTTAAAACACAGAATGCACCACCACAGAGAGTCTTAAGGAAACACGGTTTCTTTTTCTTTGAGAACAATGGGGAGAACTGAGAACAGGCAAACGCATGAGTGTTTGTTTGAATGGAGCCAGACAGGTTATAGTTGAAGTCACCTCAGTTTTTTGCTATCCATATTGCTGTTTGTAGTTTTACAGGGGTCAGTCAAAGCTGGAGGTGCAAAATCAGAAAAGCTGGTGAACCAACACAGTAAACTGAAAGCTGCACAGAAATTCAGACTGGACTGTTGATTCACAGTGGGATCAGCAGGAAGGCCATTATTTTCATGTTGGGGAAACCATCTTATTAAATGTTGCAATCAACATTTTTACTCAAAGGACCTTTCCCTTTTGTTTGTCTCTTTGTGGACCGACATAATGTGAGCTAATTCTTCATGATTCCTCCACAGAGTCGACCAGGAGAGCTCAGAGGTTCCCAGTGGACAGTCTGCTCAGCAGCATCACACACCCCTGGACGGGATTTTTATGGTCCGTGCATGTACAATAAGTACTTTTACATCTAGTCTATTAACGCTGATCTCAATTCTACATTTTTTTTAGACCAGTTGATCGTTAGTTTCTCCAACATGGATCTGATTTTAGCTTGATTGTCATTCATATAATATTTTGTTGCAGCGGCTGGAGAAGAACATTGTTACTTTTGTGAAGAAAGAGCTGAAGAAGATCCAGAGGGATCTGAGTTCAGGTTATCCAGGCTCAAAGAGTCAGAGGGAGGATGAGCAGGTGTTGGACGGTGAGGAGGAAGAGCAGAGGAGGAGCAGCACAGAGGCATTTTTGAAGATCACACAGTATTTTCTGAGGAGAATGAATGAGGAGGATCTGGCTGACTGTCTGGAGAGCAGTAAGGGCTTCTCTAAATATTTAACCTGCTGGATGAATGGGACATTTACTAATATCTCAAGAGATGAAGAGAAATGTTTGTTGATGATGTTTATATATATATATATATATATATATATGTTTGGGGGAATTAAATGGTCATGTTCTCCTCATAAATCTCTGAAACTGATTTTATGTTTATACAGTGAATCATGGTCCAGTTTATCAGCATAAACATAAATCTAACCTCAAGAAGAGGTTCCGGCTTGTATTTGAGGGGATTGCTAAAGCAGGAAACCCAACCCAACTGAATGAGATCTTCACAGAGCTCTACATCACTGAGGGAGAGACTGGAGAAGTCAATGATGAACATGAAGTCAGACAGATTGAAACAGCATCAAGGAAACCAGACAGACAAGAAACATCCATTAAATGTGAAGACATCTTTAAACCCTCACCAGCAAGAAACGAACCAATCAGGACAGTGATGACAAAGGGAGTGGCTGGCATTGGGAAAACAGTCTTAACACAGAAGTTCACTCTGGACTGGGCTGAAAGCAAAACCAACCAGCACATACAGTTCACATTTCCATTCACATTCAGAGAGCTGAATGTGCTGAAAGAGAAAAAGTTCAGCTTGGTGGAACTTGTTCATCACTTCTTTACTGAAATTAGAGAAGCAGGAATCTGCAGGTTTGACGAGTTCCAGATTGTGTTCATCTTTGACGGTCTGGATGAGTGTCGACTTCCTCTGGACTTCCACAACAACCAGATCCTGACTGATGTTACAGAGTCCACCTCAGTGGACGTGCTGCTGACAAACCTCATCAGGGGGAAACTGCTTCCCTCTGCTCGCCTCTGGATAACCTCACGACCTGCAGCAGCCAATCAGATCCCTCCTGAGTGTGTTGATATGGTGACAGAGGTCAGAGGGTTCATTGACCTACAGAAGGAGGAGTACTTCAAGAAGAGATTCAGTGAGGAGGAGCAGGCCAGCAAGGTAATCTCCCACATCAAGACATCACGAAGCATCTTCATCATGTGCCACATCCCAGTTTTCTGCTGGATCACTGCTACAGTTCTGGAGGAAGTGTTGGAGACCAGAGAGGGAGGACAGCTGCCCAAGACCCTGACAGAGATGTACATCCACTTCCTGGTGGTTCAGTCCAAACTGAAAAACATCAAGTATGATGGAGGAGCTGGGACAGATGCACACTGGAATCCAAAGAACAGGAAGATGATTGTGTCTCTGGGAAAACTGGCTTTTGAGCAGCTGCAGAAAGGCAACCTGATCTTCTATGAATCAGATCTGACAGAGTGTGGCATTGATATCAAAGAAGCCTCAGTGTACTCAGGAGTGTTCACCCAGATCTTTAAAGAGGAGAGAGGGCTGTATCAGGACAAAGTGTTCTGCTTTGTCCATCTGAGTGTTCAGGAGTTTCTGGCTGCTCTTCATGTCCATCTGACATTCATCAACTCTGGTGTCAATCTGCTGACAGAAGAACAATCAACCTTCCAGACGTCTGAAACAACAAAATGTGAATCTGCAGTGACACATTTCTACCAGAGTGCTGTGGACAAGGCCTTACAGAGTCCAAATGGACACCTGGACTTGTTCCTCCGCTTCCTCCTGGGACTATTGCTTCAGCCCAACCAGGTTCTCCTAGAAGGCCTGCTGATACTAGCAGAAAGAAGCTCACAGATCAATCAGAATATAGTCCAGTATATCAAGGAGAAAATTGAGGAGAACCCCTGTCCAGAAAAAAGCATCAATCTGTTCCACTGTCTGAATGAACTGAATGATCGTTCTCTAGTGGAGCAGATCCAACAGTTCCTGAGTTCAGGAAGTCTCTCCACAAATAAACTCTCTCCTGCTCAGTGGTCAGCTCTGGTCTTCATCTTATTGTCATCAGAAGATCTGGACCTGTTTGACCTGAAGAAATATTCTGCTTCAGAGGAGGCTCTTCTGAGGCTGCTTCCAGTGGTCAAAGCCTCCAAGAAATCTATGTAAGCTGGATTTATTTATCTAAAAATATGAAATACTAATTCCATATTTCAACTGGGGAAAAAAAGTTAATAACATCTTACTGGTTTCCTTACTGTTGTCTCTCCAGACTAAGTGGCTGTAACCTCTCAGAAAGAAGCTGTAATGCTTTGTCCTCAGTTCTTAGCTCCCAGACCTCTAGTCTGAGAGAGTTGGACCTGAGTGACAACAACCTGCAGGATTCAGGAGTGAAGCTGCTGTCTGCTGGACTGGAGAGTTCACACTGCACACTTGAAACTCTCAGGTCAGGATTAATTTACCCAGTCAATTGATGAACACCTAACCTGTGAAGGATTCTGTCTGCAAATTAAAATTTTAAAGACTCACTCGATTTCAGCAGTAGTTTCTAAACTCATAAGTTCTTTCCATGACGATTTTTCATCATTACTAAATGCCACAGATGATTTTAAATATTTATTTGAAATTTGTATCTGCATACATTTATTCTCCCTTTTTTACACAGCTTTACTCTTCATACACTTATGTTAATGTTTGTAGCCATGCGAGCAGCGTGACTCTGAGGATGGTTATGTGGGTATGTATGTTCCCCACTTTGGTCCAGACTGAAATATCTCAATAACTGTCGGATGGATTGTGATGAAATGTGGTTCAGACATCCCCCTCAGGATGAATAAGTTTGGTGATCCTCTGACCTTTCATGTAGCGCCACCTTCAGTCAACAACTTGTCCCAAACTGCAAAACTAATTACAATACACTCCCATCAGCCTCAGCTGTACTTTGTGTTTTGGCAAATAAGCAACCAAAATTATACCTGCTAAACATGAACACAGTGGGTGGTCGACCCCTCGGAACTACTAATGTCGCCGAGCAAGTGTGTTACAGATACGTGGTGTCGTCGAACCTGCGGCACTCAAATTTTTTGCCTGTTTAGGCTCGTCACCTTCTCCATTCCTCTTAGACAGTTTTACCGCTAAAGTTAGTTATACTACAAGTACAGTTATACTACATTCAGATTTTGGGCGACGAGACCACGGATGGACCATGGTTTTAATTTGAATACAATTTCCAAAGAATTCAATAAGCAATATTACATGTTGAATTAATATCAATTAATTTGATTTATCATGCAATATAGAATATTTAAATGTATGTGCAATTATTTATGGGGACAATTCACAATAAATGTATTGCAACATTAAGTTATTAAAACACTATAATACAATTTACTAGGGACAATTCACAATTAATGCATTGTTGCAATACATGTATTGTGAATTGTCCCCTATCAAATACAGTAGGTTATTACAGGACAGCCTCCATATGCTTCTGAACACACAGTGGGTCTGATGGAGGCTACTCTCATGTAGCCTGCGCTCCTCCTTGTTTACAAAGCCTGACCGGACATATCTTTTTTTATCTTTTTTTTTAAGTGATGAGCTCTTGCTTGCACGCCATCTTCGATATGATGGCGTGTGCGTCTGCGTGTTTGTGTGTGGATGAGACGCTGAGCATTAAGCCCCACCCTCGCTGAAACATGGAGACAGTGAGGACAGAGGCAGCGCATGTAAACACCAAAACATAGCAGGATAGTTTTTCTGTTCATTGGGCCTAGGGGTTTGAGCAAAAACACTTATAATGCTATGGAAACAACTGATTTATATAAATTGTGTCTGCCCCCCTAATACAATGGAAGGGGGGAAAAACTGGAACAGGATAGCATTGTCTTTATAAAGATAGTGATGTTAAATCACACTGGCATGATTACTGTTAACTCCCTGTTTCAGTCCTGTTTTGGAGGCAGTTTATTTTTGTAGTGGACTGAAACATCAGTACCCTCAGATGATCAACCATGTGTGTTGTATGTTTTGTGTGCAGGCTATCAGGTTGTCTGATCACAGAAGAAGGCTCTGTTTCTCTGGCTTCAGCTCTGAGCTCCAACCCCTCCCATCTTAAAAAACTGGACCTGAGTTACAATCATCCAGGAGACTCAGCAGTTAAGCTTCTCTCTGCTGGACTGAAGGACCCATCCTGGAGTCTGAAAACTCTCAGGTATGAAGAGGCCTTCTGCAGTCACAGACAATCAGTCTAATAGAGGAGGAAGAGCTGGTGTTATATGAGAGTGTCATATGAACAATCACAGCCATTTTCCTTTGTTCATAACATAAACACTTGTAGGAGGTCTACCAGGAGAATGTCTCAAGGAACAAAAATTATAATTGCCTGTAATAATGTGTGCAAATATCCTTTTTTGTCCCCTTACCCAGGATCAAATCACTTTCTTTTGACATTTATTTTGACTTTTTAAATATTAAGAGATTTACACACAGAAGAGTCATGATGACTTCTGTCACATACATTGTAATTTATTTACACTATTTACAGGAAACACAGAGAAGATACCATGTGAGGCATAGTCATGATATATGATATATATACAAGAAGAAATAGATATACTTTATTCGCAAGGACAAGATAAATTATTAAAGCTTAGCAGTGTTGGTTTTAGGGCTGCATGATTTGGAGAAAAAGTCACATTGCATCTATTGTGGACGATATTGCCATTAGCGATTGTGATATAATGGAACAAATGGTGCTATGAGTCAACTTGCTTGATTATCAAGGAAAATGCACTAAATACTGACATTTTGAAATGTGTATTTCTGAACTTTAACAAAGTTAAAAGAGAAGAAATACAGTTGCCACCAGTCCAAAAATACTGATTTAGCTGATCACAGAAAACTCCAGTGACTGGTGCATTGCAGCTTGTGGCCTGTGGGACTGATGTTTTTTGAACCAGGGACAGGGATGCACGAGACACCAGCAGCGCCAACACAACCCATGGCACACTTTATGTGAACAAGATTACTGACCAGTAACTTTAGTTAAACAGATGTAAAACAAAACAAGGACCAAGTTGCTCTGGAGGAGGTGGCTAGAAGGAGCACATATTTGCACAATGGCATCCTGGCTCTGGCTAAATCTACATCGGTAGATTTCAACAACCTAGAGGAGGAACTAGTACAAATTCAAATCAATTTTTTCAATTCAATTTTATTTATATAGCGCCAAATCACAACAACAGTTATCTCACAGCGCTTTTCATAAAAGAGCAGGTCTAGACCATACTCTATGATGATATTTACAGAAGCCCAACAGTTCCCACCTAGTATTCAGTTAATATTATACTGTTGGTATAATGTTATATTCTATATTCATTATGATTCTATAACTATAACATATAATAGTAAACTATTTTACCACTAGTTGAATATTATATCCAGTTACAACTGGTTAATTTCTGTTGGTTGTTTTTATTCATTCAATCAATCCTAGTGCAAGAAAAATGTTCTACATTGGTCTCTAATTTGCATCGTCTAATTTAACTTGTCAATAATCATATTGTTCAAAATTTGAACAATAAAAATTTGAACAATAAAAAGTTTGCTGTAGCTCTTCAAACTTTTTTAAATGTACCGTTCCATCCAGGCTGTGATTAGTCAGTTGACAAGTGGCACTGACAAGCACAACGGCTTTATAAAAACTTGAACATGTTGAACAACAAAAGGCTAGTTAGCTAAACCCAAACTTTCTTTGTCTTCTCCCGAATTTCCTCAGGGAGGGGGGGTTACGGTAGGTTGTTGTCTTTAACGTTACTGGCACACTGCTCATAAATAATTTTTCTGGTGCACGCTTATCCGTTTTTAGGGGCACATGCGAGAGCCTGGTGTGGGCGTGGATAATGAGCAGACTGCAGTGCACACAGAGACATCACACACACAGCACACTTTATTTTTAAATTAAATTGCACCCTTTGTTGTTATGTAATTGCACAGGATGACACCGCGATTAGATTAATCATGCAACCCTAGTTGTTGTGTTTAGTCAAGACACTGTAAGACTGATTATTAATAATGTAGATAGTGATCAATGACTGAACCTGTTTAGAATATAAGTAAGCAACCGATTTCAAATAAGGAAATCACACAATAAAACAAGATATAATGATTAAAGAGATATCTATGACAGTTTAGGGAGGTGTTTGGCAAACAGCGCATGTTGTTGAGGTAGTTTTGGCGATCCCACATGGAGCAGGAGGAGGGATGAACTGAAGGAGTCGGGCTCACAGAGGAGAGGAGAGAAAGACTCTGGATCCCTGCTGTAGATGGTTTAGTGTCAGGATGTCTGGGTAGTTTGGCCTAGAAGTCCAAAGAGTACAAACATATTCTACTTAAGTAAAAGTAGGATTATATTGATGAAATTTTACTTAAGTACAAGTAAAATTACCTGTATAAAAATCTACTCAAGGAAAAGTAGCTCATTTAAAATTTACTCAGTAAAAGTTACATAGTTACTTTTTTAACCTCCTAAAGCCATGTGGTGCTCTTAAATTTAGTTTGTTTGACAGATATAAAACGGGAAACACTGGCCTTTATGTGAAGTCATATCCCTAATTACATTCAAACAGGTGGTCATTTTAATTGGATATCATAAGCGTTCGCACAATAAATAACTAGTTACCAGTAAGTTGCTAATGCCAACCAACATTGTCATGCACTGATGTCTTTTTGTCTATTTGGACCAAAGCATCTTACCAAACTATGAAAACTTATTTTTAACCACCGGTGGAATGGTACAAGTAGTCTATTATTTAACTGACCTCTACATCAGGCGTCCTCAACTATATTCGTTCAAGGACACTTTGGGGGCTTTACTGTTTTATTTCAACTTTCGGGAAAAGAACATTTTTATATCAGTGCGATCACAATCCTAAAAAACATGGTAGGCCTAAATCCATAATGGTAAATCTTCATAGGCCTACTTAACTAAAAAATGCTCTCAGACCGCAGCCAAGGAGTTCACTGAGGAGTGATGGTTAAAATCTGTTGTTGTAAATGTAACTCTGATTGGCATTAATTAACCACTTCATTATTATGCAGCTGCCTCTTATTGTACATGAGACACCTGTAGCCTAGTTACTGGAACTAACTTCAGATGCCTTTTGATACCACAGGGCACAGAAGTCTTTGGCAGCTAAACAAACTATTTTCGGGCATTATTGGTCTTTTCCGTAATTATGTGAGCAGTCATGATCTGACTTATGCTGCACACAACATGAGTCTGTGAACAGTGAAAGTGAAAGGAGTTGGTTACCTGGCTAAGAAGGTGGAGGTGTGCAGCCTGTCGCCTGCAGCTCTTTATCTAACAGCTCACTGTGTCTGCTCCTGACTGTTGCATTACTCACTGCAATATTTCAAACTGGTCCGCTGTCTAAGAAACGGTTGGAAATGACAGGTGTGTTGTGACGCATTTTTGATGAGTGAGAGCGGTCAGCACTGATCTCACTTACAAACAGATTGCATTTCCTGTGACTACTTCAAAATAAAAGTCAACCCGTGTTTTGCCAGTTAAATGCTTTTAATGTGAAGCTGCAGCAGTAAGAAATGTTCAGTTTGCATTAGCAGTATCTTAATACAGCATTTTTTCACAGATCACACTGCATCATGGGTAAGCTGTTGTTATCTTGCACTTGAAGCCAAAGTGGTCACAAGTTTTTCCTTGCACTTTTTTTACTCAGTAATGGATGTGACTGAAAATGTAGCAAAGTACAATACTTTAAACTAAACAAAACATACTTAAGTAAAAGTAAAATTACAGATTAAAAAAACTACTTTAAAAAGTACAAGTACACAAAAAACTACTCATTTACAGTAACGTGAGTAATTGTAATTCGTTACTTTCCACCTCTGGTTCAGCCAGGCCAACCAATAGTCTTTGCAGTTATTACTCCATCTCCATCTCTACACATATTGTGTATGTGTCTATAAGAGTAATTTAATGTCCATGTTTCCATTCTGCAAGAGGATATGTTGGTCTGACGCTACTTTCTCCTTTCAGCTTGGAGCCTGGTGGAGTCCAGTGGTTGAAACCAGGTCTGATGAAGTGTAAGTGTGTTTTATTTTTTAAATTAAGATTCATGAAAACAAAGCAGCAAACATTCAAGCATCACACTTTCATATCTCTGTCATCACCATCAAATTGTCAACAAATGGACAGTTAACACATTAATAACTGTATCTGTATTGTGTATTGTTCTCTCCATCAGATTCCTGTGAACTAGCATTCGACACAAACACAGTAAACAGGAACCTCAAACTGTCTGAGAACAACAGGAAGGTGGCATATGTGGAGGAGCGTCAGTCATATCCTGATCATCCAGACAGATTTGACCGGTGTCCTCAGCTGCTGTGTGGAAATGGTCTGACTGGTCGCTGTTACTGGGAGGTCGAGTGGAGTGGAAGAGCTTCTATAGCGGTGACTTACAGAGGAATCGGAAGGAAAGGAGACAGTGATGACTCTGTGTTTGGAGAGAATGATCAGTCCTGGAGACTGATCTGCTCTGATGGTGGTCGTTACTATGTCTGGCACAATAACAAAAGAACATCCATCTACTCGATCTCCTCTTCCTCTTCTGTCTCTAACAGAGTAGCAGTGTATGTGGACTGTCCTACTGGCACTCTATCCTTCTACAGAATCTCCTCTGACGCACTGATCCACCTCCACACCTTCAACACCACATTCACTGAACCTCTTTATCCTGGCTTTGGGTTTGGGTTCTTGCCTGGTTCCTCAGTGTCTCTGTGTTTTCTGTAGGGAGTCTCATTCTACTGAACAGGGGCCTGTACCACGAAGCAGTATTTGAGTTTATCTAGGTAACTTCCAGGTAACTTAACCCTGTGTTCTCAGTACCACGACGGTGGTTCTCTTCTTACTGGTGCAGATTGCCATGGTAACTTATGCTGAAGTGCTAACCTGCTCCGGAGCGTGTTGTGTTCCAGATAAGACATCAACTCTATGTTGATCTAAGATTGTTTGATAAGCTGCTTTTATGTTTGCTGCAGTGATGCAGAGAAACTTTTGTATAACAATATAATCTTACAGAGACTGGCTGAAGCAATAAAGCCTTGTAGGCTACTACTTGTTGAAGTCTTTTAAGATATTTAAGCTACTTACAGATTTGAAATGTGTTCAATAATTTTTATTTGCTCCCAAGTCCATTTCACAAAGCCATTTCACATAAATGTTGAGATTCAGTCTTTTGACCACTATTTGTGCACATTTTATAGCATGAATGATTTTTTTTTGTTGCTTCCTTAATTTAGAACAATGTTTGGAACACTTGAGTGTGTTAAATAGGCCTACATTATTCAGATTTTTGAAGTTCTTAAAAGTGTGTTGGAACAACCATTTATTCAGTGCTCAAGGCTTTTAATGTGGAAACGCCGACACAGCCGACATGAAAGAATCAGGCTAAAATTGTAATATACGCCACAAGAACACATGAAACCAACATATTCATATTATAGGCTACGCCTGTAACTTTGGCATTCACACTGTCAGTGATTGTCCATCTTCCTGCAGGTGTCAGACATATATACAATATTCCAATTTGCTCTTTGTAAAATATGACCCTTTGCTGCCAGTAGTGTTGCGATTGGTCATCTGCTGCTAACACCGCCTATTTAATGTGAACGCACTCATGGCTGGATTGGAAAAGCCTGGGTTGACTTACCCAGTTGATAACCAGCTTTGTGTGACTTTTTTGAAATTTATCCTTGGTATGTTGAACTTGCTTCGTGGTACAGGCCCCAGATTTTGCTGCTGTTGTACTCTGATGTTGTTCCTGTTATGTGTGGGTCATGCTATTTGACCCTGTTGCGGCTTGGTCTCACTTCTAGGTTACAGGTTATTGCAATAAATTAACCAATAACTGGCAGCAGCCGGTAGCTCCTTCAAACTTCGCTACACGTTTTTCATTTGTTTCACGCATTACAAAAATAGTAATTGGAAAAGAAAGCCAAGGTTTTGCATTAACAAGCAGCAGACCTTAAACGATCCACCCAGCCTAATCAACCAGAACAGATTGATCTCCTAGAGGAGAGGAAAGAGACCTCAGATAGGACCCAACTTGGCCCAGCTTGGATTTAAGGCTGCTCCTAAAGGCCCGGTCTGGACAAAATGGGCTGTTGTGCCCACATCTTTACAGAAACCTGCTCATCAACATCCCGGATCAAGCACTCACTGGACAGACCGTGTTCTGAGCGGTCACCGCAAGACTTCTGCAAGATGAGGAGGCGGACTCTGTTTTACATCGATGGTGCTTAAATAGTCAAAATGGACACTGTTACCCAAATGTCAGACTTTTTTATGTGAAGATGACTATTTTATTATCTATAATAATCTTGTTGCTGCTGTTGACATTCACCCCAGATGCAAATTCAAAAAATGCACTGTGGAATGTTCTGTGTGTATACGTGTATATGTTATTTATGTATATAAATAACAGTAGCATATTGTTTTATTTTTTCCATATTATATTTCATTATCTGTTAAATTATGTGTGTGTAGCATGAAGGGACTACAAACTTTCTTATTGTTATACAACGTTGTGTTCTATGATGATAAATAAACTACCTGGCACTTGTAAAAGGAAATTAACTTTGTACAAAATCATTCAAAGTGATGAATGATTGGTTCAAGAAAGTGAAAAGATACCTCTTCTACACTGTTCTTCAACTTCTTCCACTTCTCATCCTTTAAAGATGGTGCTATGATCATTAAATTGTGAAAAAGATGTTGACTTGAACCTCCTGTCATGTTTAGTTTTGAGTTGTGGCTCTGTCTGTTTATGCAGGTGAAATTAAGTTAGGTTGTTTGTTTGTTTTTTAAGTTCTTTTCAATATGGTTCAAAAGTGCATCAGTTGTAATAATTGTAATTTATTAAAACTATGTTACTTCTTGGAATTGTATGTTAAGTAATCGCTTCTTACATTTTCATAAGGCACATTTACTTATATTATTTTACTTGCTAAATTCATAATTTTATCATTTTTTATCATTTGTTGTATTGAACTAATGTCGTGTTCTAGATCTGCCTGTTTGAACTTTTGTATTCATTAAAGTGGGGAAAATAGTTGTTCTTTGAAGTCAGTGGATACACTAACACAGTAAGTACCCATGTTTCTTGATGAGAAGCACTTCAGGAATCCAGAAGCTGTCTGTTATTTTTTCACTGATTGGTTGGATCCCAGATAACAGGCCGATATCTCTGCTTGCTGCTCTCAACAGCCTGTGTAGTATGTAGGATAATTTTTGTCATAATTGACCCTTCGCTAAGCCACGCCCGAATACACAGCTGGCCAATAACAGCGCAGTATAGGACTCGCTCTAACTGAGGAAATACTGAAAGCCAGAGGGGCACTGGCACAATAATTCAAGGCGGGAATTTGACTCCACCCCAGGCCACTCTGTAAACCACCGACCTGTAATTTTGTGGACTAACCGTATTTGTTGATTTAATGGGTACTAAACCAGTCTTTGCCACTTTGTTCATCTACAGACATTTGGGACTGATCATTAAAGTAGCCTAAGTGAACACTGAGTTTTCAAGGTAGCCTATGCGGTTATAGGTGCACACTCAAAACTCCAGAGAAATAGCCCACACTAATTATACAAATACAAATGTACAAGGCCAGACACAAAAAATAAGCTTATAGGCTACACTTTTAAAGAATACTTTCAACTGACCTATTGTGCAGAACCTTCGTTTCTCCATATGTGATGTTTTGACCTTCCTGCTCCTCAGCATTTGGTCACGAATGCAGTGGTTCTCTCAAAACTATACTCCTACAGTGTGGAAACTGAGCTCATTCTTGATCTTGTCAATAGCTATTTGACCAAATAATCTTCATTCAAACAATGTTTGCGGATGATGATGGTAAAATAATAATAGTTTAATGCATGTAAAAATGCTGTGCTGTGTTTCTGCTGTGATATTTATAAATACAGCAATTAAATAATTACTTTTATTATTACATTATTAGTTGCAGTGTTGGGCAAGCTACTTGGAAAATGTAGTGAGCTAAGCCACTAGCTACTCTTCATTAAATGAAGCTTCACTACACAGAAGCTACCCCCCCAGTGAAATGTAGCAAGCTAAGCTACAGCAATGTGGCAAAAGTAGCTTAGTTACATCTAAGCTATTTTTAATTTTATAATATTTCGTAGTTAGGTCATTATATATAAATATACACACACACACACACACACAAACACACACAGTAGGCTATTGGCCTAATTTATATTGAACTTGCTTCATTACACAGTAGCAAAAGAAGAAGACTAAAAACCTGCTCCAAACTTAATTATCACATTATTAATTAATTATATATGTTTTATTGTTTATATGTGAATTTGTGCTCTGGCAACCTAAACAACCTAAACATTTATATGAGAGAGATCTCATCTCATCTTATGGAAACAAGTTTCTGCCACTACATATCAAAGTTTCTTCATCACTAGAGGAAGAGCTGTCCAGTCTGGACCCTGATCCTTCTCACAAGAGGTGTTACAATAACAATCACAATACAAAGTAAACTCAATCACGTGTGTCTTTATTCCCCTGCAGCAAAATCGCAGACATCAGCCCAAGGATCTGTATGTGATGTCACCGTCACACGGAATCGCTTCTGCCGGCTGCACAGGTCCGGTGTGGCGGTGGCGTCACTTACTGATCTTAGCTGAAATTCTGGGTGAAGTATGTGGGTCAGATCAGAAACTATTTTTTGTGCCTGTTTGATAACTGATTGCTCATAAATTGTCTGAAGGGGCAGATGGTTTTTGACCCCCATTACCTTTATAGCTGTCTGTACCAAACAGGCGATCTGTGATTTGGACTGTCAGATTACCATACCAGGCTGTGATACCTTATCTTAGAATACTCTCTAGTATTGCATGATAAAACAACAACATAAATTTCTGTTTGACTCCATACACTCTAAGTCTTTGTTAAAAAATACATCCTCTGTTGAAGTCTGGAGCAGAGAGTACTCACGTGGTCCTTCCAGCTAAGTGCATTATCAATGTGCACACCAAGGTACTTGTAAGAGCTAACCTGAGTATGATAGACAATGTTATGCATGCTACTGCTCTAACACAAGCACCTCAGCTTTTACCTTCTTTTTTTTTTTAACACAAATACCATCATAGTTACTGTATACCCCGGTGAAATGTCCAGAAGGAAGAACAAAACGCCCAACCCTTACCGCAAACTAATTATGTCTGAGAAAACAATAATTCTCTAGTATTGCATGATAAAACAACAACATAAAGTTCATTGAACTGAGGCATCTTTCAATGCACCATTTACTTTAGCAAACAAAGTTAAAACAAAACCACTGTGGTGAATGCAAAAGCAACTATACACATTTGACAACTTCACCTACTGTATGAAATGCCAGATGGTCACACAATTCATCATGTATAAAGATGTAGATTTTTTCATAAACATGGGAGGAGATAGAAAATGTAACCTTTATTGTTCCTTTCCATAAAACTAAATAGGCTATATCCACAAATGGCAATTGATCGAAAGCTGTGGTGACATTTAAATGCCTACTGTACACAGACAGAACACAGCAAATCACAAGCCTATAAGGTATTGTTTGGTGCACAGGCTACACCACTATTATGCTATTTCATGGGGACTAGTTTGCATTATAGTCTGTGAGTCTGAGAATAATAGTGAGAGACACAGTCAAACCACCTGACATTACCTCCCATTCAAGTGGTCTAATTAATGCAGCCTATAGCAGGGAAACAATGTTGATCCAATGGCTCTCTGGCAATGAGACTGGGCTTCTAATTAATTATTTAAAAAGATAAGTATTTCTTTCATCTACTGGGTCATGGTGGTTACATTACAAAAGCGCAATTTCAAACTAGCATACAGGAAGAGATTGGAGAGTCCACTAGGGATGTCTTAATGCAGCACTGAGTCATTGTAAACGAAAAGGATGTCATTTGTGAGATGGAAGAAAATGAATGTAACACAGTAAGTAGAGCAATGGTTGCAATACAAAATATATATATATAAGAACGAGGGGTCTCCCCCCTTAAAAACCATCAAATAATATGATGATATATAGATATATACTAATTGTGTAAATAGTAAAACAATACAAACGCAAACAGGGCAATTAAAGTGCGTTTTAAGTTTAGAAACATTTTGAGTCCCACCTCCCTTGCCTGACAGTGGTTTAGTCTACTGCCTGCTTTCCCTCACAGGAGTCGGGTCGGAGAAAACCAGTTCAAGGCTGCATCCGAAAAGTCAAAAAAATCTCCTTTCCTAATCACCTTTCCTTGACCTTGATGAAAAATGTCATGAGGTCGAGGAAAGATGTGAAGGAGAATTCATAAGGACTTAGGAAAAGAGGACGGCAGGTCTAAGAGAATCCGACTGCTCTTTTCTAGGCGACGTAATTATGCGACAGGAGATGTTACTGCCGTGGCCTGCGTGATGAAACTACAATGTTCTGAAGATGGACTACAAAAAGCGCATCTGACACTGCACCCCGTATTGTTGTAATGCAGGCCGTCTAAAGGTGGACAACACGGTGGAAAATACTTCATAACCAAAATAGTAAAAAGGCAGATAAGGTAGCCTACCAGTCACCAAATAATGGAAAGGGTTGTAACATTGAGAATGCTTGGTCACACTCACCCTCCTGCCCACATTCATCAAACATGAATCCCAATTGTTGTCTGTAAACACTGTTTCCCACAGAATGACAGCCTAACTGAGAGAGAGAGAGAAACAGAGTGAGTGATGGGGCGAGAGGAGATGCTGAGTGAATATAGGCTGTGCCCTGCATGGAGCTCTGTGATCAAATACGATTTTACCCATTTTAAATAGTAGCCTAACAAAAAAGAGCATTGATAATGTGTCAATAGCCAATGGTAACTTACATGGTGATCAACATCCTTAACCGACATGGTCGGTGATTTCTTTTTTAAAATTTATCATAGAAAACACTTCAGGCCTATAGCTTATTTCAACAATCTGAAACATAAAACGGTGTTGAAACAGCAAAGCCAAAAGAAAATAAACCAAAAGAAAGAAGGTAATAGTGAGTCTTATTCAGATATCATAATGTGCGTCTGTATTGGAAGGATTTTGCTAAATGTGGTCAATTTTATTGTTTGAGTTTGAGAACGTGCGTCGCTTTAAATGTTGCCGCCGCAAGGAATTCTGGGACAGCATTCTCTCCTTTCGTAATGGATGGTCCGGTGTACCCTATGCTAAAGGAGATATGAGAGGAAGCATTGAGGCACCTTTCCTTAGCTTTTAGAGAATTCGACCAGCTCTTATCATGGCTGCCACTGAAAAAGTTAGGAACCTTCCTAAGCAAAAAAAGACTTTTCAAACGCAGCTCAAATCCTTCAGTGGTTGTGGAGCTCCAGTAATGTTAAGTAGGCTGCAGGGCACTTTAAACATTGGATGAACTGATTATTTTGTCTTTAATAGCCTGCAGCTGAGTCATTAATAAATTAATCATGACAAAAAGTTATAATAACTGTTATAATGATTATTTTTCTATGAGCCCACTCTGTTATTATATCACCTAGCTTATTTGGTAGCTTGTTTAACAGCTTATTGGATTGGAACTCATCTTCTACAGCTAGAGATGCGCAGATTGATCAGCTGGGGACTGAAATAGGCCATTTTGTTTCACTTACTTGGCTCCGACCAGTGACCGGGGTCGAGCAGTGTCGAATATCAAATTTTCTGTTGGTGACAATGAACGTTACAAACAGGCTGCACCGCGCCCTGTTTCACTCTGTGCACAAACAGTAATCTCATGTAACAGCCACACACACACGCTAAAACGTGTGTTAGGTGTGTGGAAGTTATTCACGAGTGTGAAGAAGACGCAACGCTCACTATTTACATCTGCAGAGAAACACACAGAAAGAGACTTGGTCGATATTGTAAAGCAGGGACCAGGTAAAGCAACAGTGAACACAGCTGTTGGTGATGATGTGATTCGGTGGTCTCTATCGGTAATTAACAACAAGCCTCCTCCACACGTGGCTCATCTACTGCTGTGAAAACAGAATCGCGGGTGAAAAGTATGAAA